GAGAGAGAGAGAGAGAGAGAGAGAGAGAGAGCGATTGTCCCAAAATAGGGAGACACGGGGAGGGAGGAAGAAAGGGAAAAAAAGAGGGGAAAGATGGAAGGGAGGGGGAAAGAGGGGAAGGGAAGGAGGTGAAAAAGGGATGTGGAGGGAGAGATATGGGAGAGAGGAAAAGAGGCAGAAGGGAGGGGGAAAGGAGGGAAGGAAGTAGCAGGGGAAAAGGGAGTGGAGGGGAATGAAGGGGGGGGAGAAAGGAGGGGAGGGGGGGGGCAGCGGGAAACGAAGTACGAGAATGGAGAGAGGTGGTAGGAGGAGGGAAGAAAGGAGGGAAGAAAGGAGGGAAGAAAGGAGGGAAGAAAGGAGGGAAGAAAGGAGGGAGGAATGAGAGAAGGGAGGGAGGAAGGAGGAGGGAAGAAGAAGGAAGGAGGAAGGGAGGGAGGAAGAAGGAGGGAAGAAAGGAGGGAGGAAAAAGAGAAGAAGGGAGGGAGGAAGGAGGAGGGAAGAAGGGAGGGAGGAAGACGGAGGGAAGGAGGGAGGGGGGGCAGCGGGAAACAAAGTACGAGAATGGAGAGAGGAGGAAGGAAGAGGGAATAAAGGAGGGAGGAAGGAGGAGGGAAGAAAGGAGTGCAGAAGAAGGAGGGAAGAAGGGAGGGAGGGAAGAAAGGAGGGAAGAAAGGAAGGGAGGGGGGAGGAGGAGGAAGGAGGAGAACAGGGGAGGAGGAGGAAGGAAGGGAACGGGGCAGGAGGAAGAGGGAGGCGGGGGAGGAGGGGGAGGAGGGGAGGAGGGGGAGGAGGGGGAGACGAGGCAAGAGGAGAGGAATAACCGAGAGCCCAGAGAGGTTGACGCGCGGCAGAAGCCACCTCCAAATACAGTCATATGTTGGACCCCCAGCGAGAGCGAGGGCCTCAGGAGTGAGAGGAAGGAGGGGGAGAGGGACGGCGAGGGAGAGAGAGAGAGAGAGAGAGAGAGAGCAAGGAGGGAGGGAGGGAGGGCAGGGGGAGGACAGGGGAGGGGAAAGGGAAGGAGGAGGAGGAGGAGGAGTTGTCAGTTTCCCTTCCCCATCTCCCTCCCCCCTACTCCCTCCCTCTCTATTCCCTTCGTTTCACCCCTCTTCACCCCCTTTCTCCTCCCCTCCCCCCTAACCCAATCCCCCATCTCCCGTCCCCCCCTTTGCCCCTTGCACTATAGTCGCTTTCTGCTGCAACGGCCGTAAGTCTCTCCTCGTGATGCGTCCGTTATAGGAGAGAACCGCTCTGTTATACGCGTCGCAGGAGAGGTGCAGATGTGGGGACGGCATAGCGATTCGGGGGGTAAGAGGGAGGGTGTTGGCGAGATGGAGGTGTGTTGGGGTAGGGGGGGTAGGGGGGTAGGGGAGGGGGGGAAGGGTGTTATGACGGTGGTCGCGAAGGGCGTTGGTTCGGCGATGGGAGAGGGAGAGAGAGAGAGAGAGAGAGAGAGAGAGAGAGAGAGAGAGAGAGAGAGAGAGAGAGAGAGAGAGAGAGAGAGAGATTCGGGCGATGAGGCGATACGGGTTTTAAATAGGGTATGAAAGCGCCTCCAATTTCGCCGTCATTTCCCCCCGGCCGCGGCGCCCTTCCTTGAACGGCGTCCGGGGAGGAGACGAGAACACAAAAGACCGCCGCTCACGGACCTAAATACCCTCCAAGGTGTTCCTCGACCCGCCACCTCACCGAAGCCACGGCCGTTCGCTGGCGCCTCGGCTTCAAGGAAGTCCCTCTCCGTCATCCCGCGTCTTGGAGAAGAAGAAAAAAATAACAAAGACCTGAGGGCGGAGTTGGCGCACCGGAGCGGGCGGGCGACGGCGCAGGGGGTCGCCGACTCCCCAAAACAGGCACTCAGGAACCCCCGGGACCAACTGCCGTGCCAGGACCCTCGACGCCCTGTCACGCACGAGGACGCGGCGCTCGGCTATATATATTTTATGTATATATGTGGATGATCGTCTTGCGTGATGTCGGGCAATACGTGCGTTCGTTATCCGGATCTCAGGCTTACGGGGTTAATTATATCGTATTTTGATGGAGTTCGCGGCTGTGGATGTGGTCTCCAAAGTGAGAACTTAAAATGTTATGATTTTTTTTTGTTTGGTATTATTAACTTCGATGTAAAATTCCCTGCTTCATTTAAGAAAAAAAGTCCCATCGGCCCCCCAAGTGCCTCAAAAGCAATCGTCGAACGCAAACTTGCAGGACTTTGCCTCTTTTTTTCTGCCTTTTCAAGCTGATAATCTAGGTTCTAATCCTTCGTTTTATAATCTGCCGGCGAGAAGCGTTCTGAAATTAAATCCCCGAGTGATAAAAAGCGGTCAATAAGAACGCATGTTACTGTACCTTCGCGCCAAAAAAGAAGATTGAAACAAAATGGCGGCGCGCTGACGCCACCTGGTCCGCAGGGGAGCCGGCCTTAAAAGGTCGGCGTCAGGACAGCGCAGTAACAACCCCTCGCGCTGTTTACGCCCGAAGTCCCAGCCAAATTGCAAGTGGTAAATAAAGGGCGCCCGTACTTGGTGCGATAAAAGTTATTTTAATTATTGCTTTGCCTGATGGACTCATCAACAGAGGGTATGTCACCCTGGCTCCGCGGGCTTTATTTACGGAATTTTCTCTGCCAAAACGTCCACAGATCCTTCCTCGCCCGATAATGAGAGCGAGACCTCCTCGGGGGAGCGGCCGCCGCGCCCGAGAGGTGAGGCAATCAAGCGCCTCCCCCCACACCCCCCGCCCGCCGTCCCCCGCCCCCCCGAGAGCGCTCGCGAACGACGCCATCTGCGGTTCCGGGTCGGGCAGCGTCGCTCGGCTACGCGCCGACGCCGCAAATACCCGCAAGTACGCACGTCATTTCGGCGGTGGGTGACGCCCGGCCGAGGGGGGTTTTTGGGCGGCATTTTTGGGCACGATCCAGACTTCTGCCGGGGTTTTCCCTCTCCGAACCCCGCCCGCGCTCCTTTCCCCTCCTCTCTTCTTCCCTCCCTCCCTCCCATCCCACCCCCTCCCCTTCTCTTCCCTCCTCTCTTCGCCAGCTCTCCTCTCCCCTTCTCTCCCGTCCATTCCTCTCCTCTTCCCTCCTCAAATGCCTCTTCGTCAGCTCTCCTCTCCTCTCTCCTCCTCTCTTCGCCAGCTCTCCTCTCCCCTCCTCTCTTCGTTTCTTCCCTCCTCCCTTTCCCTTGCCTTCCTTTCTTCTCCCCACCATTCCACCCCGACCTCTCTTCGCCTTCTTTATCAACCTGCCTTCCATTTTTTTCCACGTTCATTTTCCTCAAACTTGTTATTGTTGCAGTGTTAATGTCTCTTCCTCTATGTACTTCGGATGTTTTGAGAAACTCCGTGTACGTTCCTTTATCTTTATCTGTTGCTTTATCTTCTGTTTTTATCATTCATTCTGTTTTCTTGTATCAGAGACATTTGCTTTTATTCGTCCCAGACCTGTGATATTTATTCCTGGTTTCATTGCTTTTCTTCTGCTTTCTCCTTCTCCTCTTCCTCTTTTCCCCTTTCATTTTTTCCTCCTCCTTCTCCTCTTCTCCCTTTCCCCTCTCATCTTTTTCCTGCTCCTGCTCTTCCTCCTTTTCCCTCTCATCTTTCTCTTTCCTCTTCCTCTTCTCCTCTCTCAACTTTATTTTTCATCCTTTTCCCTCTCATCTTTCTCCTTCCTCCTCCTCCTCTTCCTCCTTTTCTCTCTCATCTTTCTTTTTCCTCTTCCTCCTCCTCCCTCCTCTCATCATTGTTTTTTCTCCTCTCCCTCCCTCTCCTCCTTTTGCCTCTCATCTTTCTTTTTTCTCCTCCTCCTCCTCTTCCTCCCTTTCCTCCTTAACCTACACCTCTCCTTTACCCTTCTTCTCCGTTTCCATCCTCCTCCTCCTCTCCCTGTCTTCCTTCATCATCACCATCTCCCTTATTCCTCCACCTTCATCACCCCCCCTACCCCACCCCCCACTCTCCCACCGCCTATGCCAAAGACCCCACGGAGATCTCCCTCTCTCTCTCTCTCTCTCTCTCTCTCTCTCTCTCTCTCTCTCTATATATATATATATATATATATATATATATGTATATATATCGTGAAAATGATTAAGAATGAATAGCGTCACAGGATAAGACGTGTAAGTAATATTGTTATGTTCTAATGTTAACTACAATAAGGAAAACGGTGATTTTTCGTTAATACTCTTTTCAATCTTTGTCACAATAACATGTTTGGAAATGTTACGAGAGGAATTACAACAGTAACAGTAGTGAATTTAACACTAATATTAGTGAAAGTAAAAATACGAATAATCATAATAACGGTAAAGATGCAATGGTATTATTTGATAAGAAAATAATGTAATGTAATACTAAATGCCATAGTATTATAATATGAATGATGATAACATAATATACAGTAGTGATACTGCTGATGACAACTACAACAGTAATGTATTTATATATCCATGTTTATAACAAAATAACAATATGATATTCTGTAACTACTATTAATATTACTACTACTATTACTATAACTAACAGTAATTCATACCTTTACTGTAGAAAAGGTATGAATGAGAATGAATATCTTCCCAATACAAGAGATGTATTTGACCGGTTTCGATTATATCTTCGTCAGAAATGTATTGAATATCTTCCCAATACAAGAGATGTATTTGACCGGTTTCGATTATATCTTCGTCAGAAATACATGTATCTCTGACGAAGATATAATAAAAAACGGTCAAATACATCTCTTGTATTGGGAAGATATTCATTCTCATTCATACCTTTTCTACATTCATCCTCACGGTTCACTACTACTACCATCACTACTGATATGTTTCCGTAAAAAACTCTAATGATAACGACTATAACAAAGACACTACCATTACTGCTTGTGTTGATGATGAAACTCCAGATCACAATAACAACATAGTCACTACTGATCATAAAGGACACTATAACATATAACACTATAACCTTCTGGAGGATAGTGTTGTGGCCATTCAACTTACACTGATAATGAAGCAGTATATTCTTCTATTCACAAGGGCTGTGATCCTCCAAGTGTATCTGGAAAGGAAGAAAAATACTTTAATGTGATTATGATGGTGATTACGAAGATGATGAAGATGATAATAATAATGATGATGATGATGATGATGATGGTGGTGGTGGTGTTGATTGTGATAATGATTATGGTGACGATGATGGTGATAATAACAACGATAACGATAATGATAATAATAATGATGTTGATGACAGGATGAATACATTCAGAGAAAATTTGATAAATGTCACAAATAATAAGATCAATGATGATAGTGACAATAATGGTGAAATGATGATGTGGACAACGATAATAATGATATCAGGTGACAACATTACTCTTATTAGGCCTTAAAATGTATTCATACAATAGAAGGCCCATAATAACAGCATACACATGACTTACCAAACCTCTCCAGAAATAAACAAAAACAAAAAAACAAACAAACGATAATTTAGAAAATAATAATGAAAAAAAATATAAATAAACGATAATTTAGAAAATAATAATGAACAAAAGCAAAAAAAAAAAAAAAAGATAAATAAACGATAATTAAAAAAAATAATAATAATGAAAGGATAAGAGAAATCCTACAGTTGCCAAGATAGGGGGACGATTCAGGACTTTAAGAAATCCTTAGCTATCTCGGTTGCTAAGGAAATTGGCAAGCGGGTTACTAGGAGCATTTGACAGGGGCATTTGGGGTCTAAACGTGGCTGTTGGGACCCCCGGGCGAGGCAGGGTTAGCCAGGGAGGTCCTTAGGGCTGTTTGCCAGGCTTCTCTGGGACTCCTTGCCCCTCCTCCTCCCCCCCCCCTCTTACCCTCCCTCCCTCCTCCTCCCCCCTCTTACCCTCCCTCCCTCCTCCCTCCACCCTCCTCCTCCTAAGCTATCTACCGTCTTCTTCCTTCTCCCTTACTCAACTAAATTTTACTTGAGTTTTTTTTTATTATTTATTTATTTATTTTTAACTTCTCTGTTCCTCTTTCTGTCTTCCTTTTTCAGTCCTTCCCTTTCCTCCTTCTCCTCCCTTTCTCTTCTTGTTTTCCGTTCCTTCTTATCTTCTTCCCTTCTTCCCTCTCTCCTGTCCCTTTTCCCTTTTTCAATCCCTTCCCTCTCCTCTTCCTTCCTCTCTCCTCTCCCGTCTCTTCCCTTCTTCCTTCTAGTCTTGGCAATTAATTCTCCTTTCCCTCTTCCTATTCTTCACTTTCTTCTCTCCCTCCCTCTTTTCTTCCCCTTGCCTTTCCCTTTCCTTCCCTCCTTCCCCATTTCCTTCCCTCCTTTCCCCCTTTCCTTCCCTCCATCCCTTTATCTTCCTTCCCTCCATCCCTTTGTCCTTCCTTCCCTCCTTTCCCTTTTCCTTCCCTCCTTCCCCTTGTCCCTCCATCTCTTTGTCCTTCCTTCCCTCCATCCCTTTGTCCTTCCTTCCCTCCTTTCCCTTTTCCTTCCCTTTGTCCCTCCATCTCTTTGTCCTTCCTTCCCTCCTTTCCCTTTTCCTTCCCTTTGTCCCTCCATCTCTTTGTCCTTCCTTCCCTTTGTCCCTCCATCTCTTTGTCCTTCCTTCCCTTTGTCCCTCCATCTCTTTGTCCTTCCTTCCCTCCTTCCCTTTGTCCCTCCATCTCTTTGTCCTTCCTTCCCTCCTTCCCCCTTTCCTTCCCTCCATCTCTTTGTCCTTCCTTCCCTCCTTTCCCCCTTTCCTTCCCTCCATCTCTTTGTCCTTCCTTCCCTCCTTTCCCCCTTTCCTTCCCTCCATCCCTTTGCCCTTCCTTCCCTCCTTTCTTTCCCCCTTTCCTTCCCTCCTTCCTACCTCGAGCACCGCCGCCAGGGAAGGCCTAACGAAATCGGACGAGAGGCCTATTCCTAGACTGGCGCTTCGGGTTTGCGATCGAATTGGGTTGACGGTTTGCAGAAGGGGATGTGATGTGAAAAAATATATACACACGCGAACACGCACATTGTATATATATATATATATATATATATATATATATATATATATATATATATATATATATATAAATATATATATATATATATATATATATATATATATATATATATATATATATGTATGTATATATAAAATTAAATATGTATATATACACATATAAGAACATCTCTATATACATTAAAAAAAATATATGATTACGTACGCATATGTAAGTCTCTCTCTCTCTCTCTCTCTCTCTCTCTCTCTCTCTCTCTCTCTCTCTATATATATATATATATATATATATGTGTATATAAGTATATATATGCATATATATGTATATATATATCTATATGTGTAAATTTATATACACATACACATATTTATAAATATATATACATATGTATATATACATACACACATATAAGTATATATAAGTATACATATATGCATCTATATATATATATATATATATATATATATATATATATATATATATATATGTATATCTATATATACATACACACATATGTACATAATATATATACACATACATACACTCATATGGATATGTGTATATATACATATGGACATACACATAAATATAATATATATATATATATATATATATATATATATATATATATATATATATGTATATATATATATATATGTATATATATACATATACATACATTTGATACACACACACACACATATATATATTTATATATACATATATATTTATATAAACATAGATATTTTTGTGTATGTATGTATGTATGCATGTTCATGTACATGTGTGTATACATTTATAAATATGCATTAACATATTTTTTGTTCTTTTATTACGCACACACACACACACACACACACACACACACATATATATATCACCATACGAACACAACCCAGATCGATACAAAATGACCCGTTAATCTACCAAACAGACCGGCAGGCATTTATATTCCCCTCCGCTGATGACTCAAAACGGCGGGCGCTTAGACAATGGCGGAAGAGGTATAGACAATCTCGAATCGCTCGCGGTGTTCTCCCTGGGTATGTCCGCTTTTCCTCTCCTGGCACTGGGCACGGGCTTCTCCGGCGCTCTCGTAAGCACCAAGAAAAATCCGAGGTTGGTGTATATCCTTCCGGGAAATCGCGATTCCGAAAGATGATGCGTGGGGCGGGTGTGTCGACTCGCACGTATATTTACGTTTTTCAACTTTTGGATACATATTCATGCGAATACCTACAGGTGTTGTTCTTGTAATGCATGTGCGTACATAACACATAAGGCATGCATATACGTATACACATACACATGCACGCAATTATGAACACATAAACATAAACACCTACACTACACATTAGACATAAACACACACGCATGCACGCAAAAACACACCGTAAAAATGAATTGAACAAATACAAAAAAAAAAAAAAAAAAGTCAATGAGAAAATATCAACAAATAAGTATACGAATGAAAATAAAAATAAATAGATAGAAGAGAATGTAACTAAACATGGAAACAAAAAGGAAAACGAAGAGAAACAAGTAAATGGATAAAAATGATTAAACCAATAAAAGCATGAAAAACAAACAAATAAAACATACAAACATACGAAAAAAAAATCAAACACGAAAAGAATTACAAAAAGAAAACAAAACAACACGAAAAACGAAAAAAAATAAAAACCGAAGAACCATAAACAAGAAAAAAAGAGGAAAAAACAAAAACAAAAAAACGAGATAAAAGAAAAAAAATAGAAAAAAAAACACAAAAGAAAAACAAGAAAAACTCAAAAACCAAAGAAAAATAAAAACAAAATAAAACAAGAAAAACGAAATAAAAGGGAAAAAAACAAGAAAAAACAATAACAAAACAAACACAAAAGAAAACCTCAAAAAACAAAGAAATAAGAAAAAATTGCCCCCGTATGCAAGCAGACCGCTCCTTCTCGTCTCCTGCGCGCGTGTCTTGGGAGCGAGCGCGTGGCCTTGGGGGAGGGGGGGAGAGGCTGGTGGGTCGCCATTACTCTCGATCTCCTCTTTGCATTATGCGAAGGGGATGGGGGTGAAGAGGGGAGGAAGAGAGGAGGAAAGGGAAAGAGGAGGAGAGGAGGAGAGAGGAGAGGAAGAGACGAGGAAAGGGAGAAGGTGAGGGAGAAAAGAAGAAGAGGAGAGGGAGTGAGAATGAGAGATAGATAGATAGATAGATAGAGAGAGAGAGTGGGGGGGAGGTAGGCGCACGCACACAAATAAACACACACATACAATACATATGTGTGTATATATATAACATATTTATAGTATATATAATATATATATATATATATAAATATATAAATATATATATATATATATATATATATATATATATATATATATATGTATATATGTATATATATATGTATATATATATACATGAATACATACATACATAATATATATATATATATATATATATATATATATATATATATATACATATATATATATATGTACATATATATGGATATATATATATATATATATATATATATATATATATATATATATATATACATATATATATACATGCATATATATATATATATATATATATATATATATATATATATATATATCTACACATGCATATATATATATACATATATATATATATATATATATATATATATATATATACATATACATACAAATCCACATTCATTCCTATTCGTGCCATCACCGACATCATATATTTGACTGTCTTTATACTGGGGTGGCTGACCCATGATCCTTCCCAGGGGTAATCATTGTTGGTGGTTCTCAATCCTCCAGCGTATCTACGACAGACTCACCCAGTACCGTATCTAGATTTAACTTATTCAGTATATACGTATGTATATAAATGAATGAATGAATGAATAAATAGATAAATATATTCATTTGTTTACACACACACACACATATATGTATGATATATATAAATATACATATATATTTACATTATGTATTTACATTATTATTCAGTATATACGTATGTATATAAATGAAAAAAAAAAAATATATATACGTTTATTTACACACACACACACTCACACACAC